AAAATAATGAAATGATGATTTATCCGTGTTGCAGCACCGAGTCAATAATATTTTAAACTTGCTCCGGTCCCGCCATATAATTATGTCCTGTGATATTTTAAGCTTGTTAAAAGTGTAAAATTTTCATAATATTTTAAACTTTTTAGATTGAAGTTCAAAATTTATATATCCAGTATAGTTAAATGGTTCGACTTTTTTTTTTAATATAGATGCTTTTTAAGTTAAACTTCATATTCATTCAAATTTAGATCATTTTGGTCTTATTTATAATATGACTATGAACTATTGTCAAAAACATTTAGCTGATGTGGTTCCAAAATTCATTTAATTAAATGAGTTAGTTATAAAAAAATATCCCATTTAAATCTGTTTATCAAAAAATGTTAAATATGGTTAAATGGGTTAACCCAATTAGATTTATTTATTACATGGATTTTAACACAATCAAATGGGTACCTATTAGACCCATTTTTTTTTTTTTTTTTTTTTTTTTTGTCATCTGTAATTAAAATAGTACTCAAAAGAGCCATTCTTGTGGAATGTTGTTTACATAAGTGATATAAAGCGGTTCCGTACGAATTTTTCGTGCCAGATTATCCGCTTTTGCATTTGCACAACGAGAAATTAAAGATAAAGAGAAGGTAGAGAACTCTTCCTTGTCGCTCTGAAATTCCTCCAGATACACTGAGAAGGTCGGCCATTCGGTTGGGGAAGACACCATCTTCACCAGGTCAGAACAGTCTGTAAGGAATGCTACCTCTTGATTATCTGCACCAATCATACACTTCATCGCCCAAAGGAGGGCCTCGAATTCGGCATGTAACGGAGATAGGCTTCTACGGAGGTTGGCAGCTCCCATTGTTGATGGCTCACCGTTTGATGGTGTACAAAACCACCCTATCCCGGAAAACTTGTCGCTGTCTTTCCAGGATCCATCCACAAAACAACGGTATCCTGTAAAATCTGAATCTAGGGACACCCCCCTCGTTTGAGGCCGATTTGGAAATTCCACTGAAGCCTGAGTTTCAGTATGAAGCTCCACTTGAGCTGAGTGCCACAGTTGTGCCTCTCTTTCCGCTAACCGTAAAACCTCTAACGGATCGTTATCCACATTTTCAAACAATTTTTCATTCCGTGCTTTCCAAATATACCAAATAATCCAAGGAAAAGCTATAGAATCAAACTCCGATGGTATTCTCCAAAATAAATGATCCAAATTTGCAAAAATAGAATCTGTGGGAAAAGTTCCCATAACCGTAGGAATCTGAGAAAGTGCCCAAACCTGTCTTGCAGGATGGCACTGAAAGAGTGTGTGATTGACTGTTTCCTCCAGTGCACCACATCTGGCACAACCAGTGTCACAATCAATTCCTCTTTTTCGTAAGTTCTTTGTAACCGGTACACAACCCGTTAAGATTTGCCATAAAAAATGGCGTATCCTACGATGGACACTGTACATTCCAACGTATGAGCCTTTAGCTTATTGAAATCTGGCCCAATGAAAGATGAGTTGGTTTCCAACTTATCCAACCGTGCGGTATGATACCCCGACTTAACTGAATATTTGCCGGATTTTGTAAAATGTCAACCCAAGGTGTCCTCCTTGGTTGGCGCACCCACCGGTAGGGCACTTATTAACTCGACATCTTCCTGGTCAAAGACCGCTTTGAGGAGATCAATGTCCCAAAAATTAGATCGACTATCTATAAGCATGTTAACTTTTAAAGATGGGTCATTAATAGATCCATTACCCATTTATGTTGATTATTTTCAATAAAAAATGATTAAAATTAAAATATTAATTAAATCAAATTTTTATTTTTGTCCCAAAACAGAAAATTGTATTTTTCTGTACAAAAATTTAATACCGTTTTTCCGCCAAAACCACATTTTCAGCCACAAATGAGTAATGGGTCCGGATTCGGGTTTTGGGGTTTATGAATTTAATATCTAATAATAGGATAATTAAAAACATTCGGTTCGAATCCTTTCGGGTAGGCCTGGGCGTTTTACCCGAATCCGAAGAACCGAACCCAACCCAACCCGAAAAAACCGATCCGAACCCGAACCTGAAATGTTAAAATATCCGAACGGGTCCTCAACTTCAAAACCCGAAAACCCGAACCTGAACCCGACCCGAACCCGAACAAGTACCCGAACATATCCGAAATATAAATACATAGTAATAATATATTAGTAATATATATATTTGTAATAATATAAGTGTCTAAAATATTGGAATTTGGAATATTTTTGCATATTTTAGCTATTTCTAAGTATATTCAAGTACAAAGTATTCATATTTTTGAATAATTTAGATATTTCGTGTAGTTTGAAAAGTTTCGTATGCAATTTTTTATTTTTGGATATTTTGGGTATACCCGAACCCGAATTACCCGACCCGAACCCGACCCGAATACCCGAACGCCCATGCCTACTGTCGGGTTAGGGTACAAATTTCAGGATACTATAAATACCCGAAAAATGGGTATTCCATCGGTTTGGATATTACCCATTTTTCAGGTATTTTGTACCCAAAATAATGGGTAGCCGAAAAAAAATCTTTAAAACAGTAATAACGGGTTTCGAGTCTGGTTTTTTTTGCTCAAATCTATCAAACATAAGATCATAAGAATTAAAAAAAAAAAGAAAAACACATTGTAAATTCGTGTTATAACAAATGTTTTTTTTTTTTTTTATAGGAAACCACATTTACCAATTAATAACCCACTTATAATGTACTCTCTCTCTTGATTAAAGAATGTAAAATATAAAATATTTTATCATATTCCGCATACATTGATACATACCCTAACCGTCCGATCAGCTAGAAAACTTAAACCACATTTTGTATGTACTGCAACCAATAATCACAAACTTAAACCGTCCGATCAGCTAAAAAATTTCAGTCGTATCAGGCCTTATGCGGTCACAAAGCAAGTCACGGATTCAAACAACCAACGGGAATCGCATGTAAAGAAACCGACTCGATAGTGCTTAGCACTAGCCCAAGACCGTGATACCCGAGAAACTCGATATAATCAAGATAAGAAACCCTCTAAGTATGATAGAAAATTTGGAAGAACAATTAGAGACTACTTGAAAGACTTTTGGAGAGACTTAGAGAACTTTTAAAGAGTGTTCTTTTATTTGAACTTTCTTTTTAGGGTAAATTGCATGTTTTGGCATAAGACCAAGTTTTAATTTCATGTTTTGGCAAAGTGAGAATTGACTTTCAAGTTTTGACAATTTAGCCAAAATCTGACCATTTTACCCCTGCCAGCGTACCGATGTACTGTTCACTGTACGGTTCTGTTATGCGGTTCAGTTATGTACACTGTTCCGGTTTAGTTATGCAGTTCAGTTATGCGATGTACTGTTCACTGTACGGTTCAGTTACGTACACTGTACACGGTTCAGTTATGCGGTTCAGTTATGCGATTGACTGTTCACAATTTTCTTATAATCTTTTGTTTTTTTACATTTAATTTATTTATTGATTTTGTAAATCTAGTTTATATTAGCGTATTTTGAAGTCGAAAAACTAAAATACAAACTCTATAAATATTACGTACACCGTCTCCACAATAGTACATGATATAACTGAAGTACATATCCATTTTATAATCAATACTGTGTATACCGTAAACTACATACACGTAAATAGAAAAAACTCAAATAAGGACATATTTTCTACCAAAAATATCTTACCAATTTCATACAAGT